AAAAAAAAAAAAAAAAAAAAAAAAAAAACCAAAGCTATGCCTCTAGCAAAAGTTCCCGCTGGCTTCTGGAATATGTAAGTTATAGTTCCAGTTATCAGGCATTTTGAATACTGGCTCTGATATGTTATTCCTGGTGAAGTGTCGTCCTTGGAGTTCTGTATTTAAATTGGACTTTAAAACATTCAGAAATATAAAGCAAGATTAGTAGAAGTTTCATTTTCTTTCAAAGACTGTACAGTTAGAATTCAGAAAGTAACTCATTAATGCGATGCCTATTTGTGATGGGAATCATATAACAGTGCACCATTTTGAAATAGGACAGGTTGAAATACTAATAGATTTTGTTGATAGTTTAAATGAATGTTGAAATAATTTAGCCTGGAATTCATTACTTTGTATTTAATGTTTCTGCTCTGATGTTCATACTAACGTTAATCAGACTTTAGTTGGAGTTATTTTATTTAGTAACTCTATTTTTTTTTTGAAAAAGAGGAACATACCTTCCAAAGAGTGGCAATTGAACAAAAATTAAAAAAACCCAGGGGACAGGAGTTTTATCAAGGTTATTCAGCTATAGTTTCTGTTAAAAATGTTGAGCTTTATGAATGATTTATGGACTCCAACTTATTGAATCCTGAGTGGTAAATGTATTTACCTGCTAGTTAGTGCCATATTAACTTATGTCTTGGTTACAATGTTCTGTAGCTGAAAGAGAGGTATTTTCTCATGTATTGTCTGACAGCTTTTCAAGTATTTGTTTATACATGTTCTATTTCTCTCTCTCTCTCTCTCTTTTTTTTTTTTCTTTTTGTACTTGGTTGCTCTGTGAAATCTGTTATATATATCTCTCTATTTTTTTTTTTTTTTTAAACCCTGAGGCAAAACCCTGTAAAATGATAGAACACTGCCAAAAGAAGCAGGAAATGTAAATGTTTTCTGAAGAAGCTAGATGTTAGGGGAGGGAGACTCGGAAGACTGGAGTCACTAGTTAGATCTCGATGTTAGGACGGCATTTAAAATTAACATACTCTTTATTGGTGCTTATGTAGGATATATTGTTTTTAGGCCTAGATTTTACTGTTTTGCTTGAAGCAGATGTAGGAACTCAAGAGAAAGAAAAGCAAATACTAGGAAACACTTTGTTCAAGTTTCCTTGAACAAACCTGGAATGGTTTTGATACTTATGTACAGTTCTGGTTACCCAAAACCATTTTTGCAGGGGATGTAACTTAACCATACAAAGTAGGGAGAGGAAACAGAACTGTACAAGGTAAGTGTTTCTGCAATAGTGACCATGAGATTTTTGCTAAATTTGGCATTCTTCCCATTCAAAAAATAAACAAGAGAGCAGGAATAAGAAACTAATGCCCTAGCCTTTATTTCTAGAGGCCAAAGTCCAAAGTCTTTTGTTACCAGTGAAAGTAAGTTAGGCCTCCTGGGAGGAAGTTAAAGAAACTGGCATGTTAGTTAAGAACTGTCTTAGTATGCAAGAGATTAGTTTCTGACTCATTTTTGTTTTGACCTGAGTTTCAGTCGTACCTGAGAAGTGCTAGATTTTGAAGCCTGGTTATAATTCAGTTCACTAACATCAATTATTCTGTCATGCACTATCATTTAAGTTTTGTTTGGCTAAATATAAATGGAAGTATTAGTAGAAGGAGAGGAGGAAAAAAAGAAAAAACGTAGCTTTCCTTTTATTATAGCACTGAACCTCATGGTGAATCACCAGTATTTTGCTTGATGTCCCACTGCCTTATGGTCGGCTCTGAACAGAAGTCCTGCCCTATATCAAAGTTTAAAAGATCTGTTGTGTTTAAATGGAAGGTCTGGAATATGAAAGAACAAAGGAGAAAATAGCAGAAGAAATCAGATGTAGGCAAAAAGGGAGTTTTGAGGAATTTAGATTAAGGGGAGCTAGTGAGTGAGAGGTCACAAGGAAATCTGTAGCCGTGTTGGAGAAACTAGTCACTTTAGCCATCCTGACTCAGACTGAAGTGACCGGGAGGCTTGGAGAGGTGCAGCGTAGGCTACTGGGACCTGTGCCATGAATGAAGTGATCATTTAATAGTGGCTGAAGTTTGTCTTTTAGAAGTGTATTTCAGTAAGAGACTGCCTTTTATGGTTAGCATAAGGAAGGAAAGCTAGAAGACGGTGCTGAGGCTTTTAATGGAGAGAACAAGTGAAAGAGTGAGAATTCGGACTCGGAGAGAGGGCAGAAGCCTTTTAGCCAAAAGAAACGAAGATCAGTTACAAGAGTAACAAATTTAAACGGACAGAGTAATCGGATATGAGAAGTTCAATGTGAACAATCAGCATGAATTTGCTACAGTGCTGTGGGAGTAGTTGATTCTTCCCTTTCCCTGATTTTATTTGCTCAGATAAACTACTGCTGTAGCAGGCTTGCTCGGCCATCTGCTCATATGTTTCCTGCTCTGTTTAAAATAATACTTAAGAGAGCTTACTTGTACTAATATAAATCCTTCTTGAAGGTTTCACTTGCGTGAATGATGGCTAAGAGATAATAAAGCTAAGTACCCTTTCTCTTTCTAGGAGTAAATCTTTGAATGATGTCAGTGCAGATGAATTGCAGTCATTGCGCAAAATTCGTTATGAAGAGCTACAGAGGATAAAAAACCAGTTGCAAGAACAAGATCTGAAGTGGCAAGAAGTAAATATTCCTTTTCACTCCTGCTTTCGTGTGTGCTGCTAAAGGTCTGAGTGCTGCCTACAGTCAGCACCCTTAGACGACAAAGTATTTTGCATGTGCTCAGCAGTTCACGGGATTGGGTTTGAAAATGATCCATTTCACACAACTGCTGGTGATTTCGGGAATGTCTGTTTAATGGAGAACTGAAATTATTTTAGATGTTATCAAAAGGATCTAATTAATGTTCTTGGATAAGATTTATTTGTATTTTTATAGTAACAATATAAAACCTTTTACACTTGGTTTCTGTGGCCATGAAGATAAGTTAGGGCATAGTTTCATGTGCAATCCAAAATCTGAGAGTTCGTTTTTGTGAGATGATTGGAATGTGCAAGTATTTGGTTATTTGGGGAGAGGAGGAGAAATAATATTTCCCCATGCAAACTCTTGAGGCCCCCACCACCACCAATAATTTTGTCTTAAATTCAGCTTGAAAACTGATATTGTAGCCTTCAACTCCATCGTAACATTATCTGAAGACCTTTTCTTTTCTATTGAAATCTGTGATTTGTGAGGATTAAGACAATTAAGAACAGCGCACGGAACAAACAATTCATAGTTGTTTGTTTAATGCATGTTAGTTCTAATATTCTGTACTTATCTTAAAGCAGCTCTGGTATTTCATGGAGAAGGTTGCCAGTGCACATTGTGGTTTTACAGAAATAAAGAAAATATGGATGTTGATTCTTATGTTTTCAATTTAGAATTTAAGGCATGTTTGTTCTGAGGCTAATGTATCAGTCTAACATACTAGTAGCTGGAAAAAGAAAACTCTAAAGCCAATGACAGAGAAGTTCCTATAGCATTTGCATTACTTTTCAGCTATATGTCATGTTAAGTATTCTAGAATAAAATTGAAAGTTTCAAGAAAAACAAGACACGATTATTGCACTAAAAATGGAAAGAGTATTGTGATTATTAATTTTAACAGGCAGCAGGCCTGTAATCTCTAACTGGAAAAAACAAGAATGCCTTTATCACATAGGGGAAAGATATATGAAAATGTCACCTTCATGCAGACATGCTGTTCATATAAGGTAAAATAAGGACCCTGGCATTCAGGCAGCATATAATGCAATATTTTTGTAGGTGTAAGAAATCTTGAGGAAAATCTAATGTTTGTACGCTCATGTAATTCTCTTAGGATCTAGCAAAATGGAAGAATCGTAGAAAAAGCTTTACTTCCGAATTGCAAAAGAAAAAGGAAGAGAGAGAAGAAATAGAAAGGAGAGCCTCCGAGGTTTCAAGGAGTAGCAAGTCACTGAAAGAAATGCAGGAGGAGAGGTACTGAACCTAATTGAAGTGTAACGTTTTCTACGTAAATCTTAGCATTTCTGTTCTCTGTAATTCTTGAACAGTTTTTACTAGCAAATTGCAGCTGCTTCTGCAGAAATCTAAACAATTTTAGTAGCAAACTATAGTGTAGAAATCTAAGTAATTTAAGCGCAGGATATGGTCCACTCGTACATTGTTTTCAGAGAATGTTAAACAATTTTGTAGTATAAATGATATTTTATTGTGCTAACTGCGAATAAATGCCAGTATTTGTATTCCCTTTAAACAGATTAAAATAATAGAGAATTAAACTGGATAATTGCCTTTTTAATTCTTGGATCAGCTTAATCATCTTAATTATTTCTCTTTGTTCTAACATTTATTTGCTGTTCTTTTAGTTACTGTGGATAAGTGCAGCCAGAAATTAGTGTATACCACAGAACTGTGAACTTTTACTTGATTTCGACTGTATCCCCAATTGCTCCTTGTGATATTTACACAGCAAGATTGCCAAGATTCTCTCTGAAGAGTAAAAAGTTAAAAAGTGTAAATTTTGTAGCACGATATCATTTGTCCTGCTGACAACTTTTTATTACATTTCTTTTCTTTAATGCATGAATGACTGAGTTGAAGGGCCTTAAAAAGTTTATGCATATGGCATGTATTTATAAATGAGGACACAAATTACAGTTTCTTGAATAAAAATACGGGTACAAGTTGTACAGAATGGCCGGTATTACCAGTAGCTTAAAATTGATGTGGTAAAGGTTATCTTTGTTGTTTCTATATGACAAGAAAACGTTTGGAAAAAAAAAAAAAAATCTTAACTTCAGGACACCTTCTCATTTGTTATCTGAAGTTTAGTATCATATTTTTAGAAAGTAGAGGCACCACCAAAGCTATGGAGTTCAGGTGATGTTGCGTGGCTTCCTTCTTCCAACTCTTTCCTCAATAATATCTGAATTTCTGAAGCTACATAATTGAATAGCTATATCATTTTCTTGGCAAGGAGTTTTTTGTCGTGGTGTCAAGCTGATAATGTGACAGTAGTATGCCTGACTGTTATGGCCATGTTGACATGAGCGGGGGGGGGGGGGGTGGGGGAAAGAAAGAAGGAAGGAAGCCAGGTTAAAGAAACTATACTAAAATGATGTCATTCATTTTCCTTTACCAGAGAGGTGTTTCTCAGTTTATGCTCTGTCTTGGACATTAAGTAGCTGACAAACAGGTGGGCCCTAAGTGTTTCAGGTCACTTATGTGGTATTTTAATGAGTTCTGTCTCCTTAGGGAGAACAGAGATCAAGGAACCTACAGTCAGCAAAAACTGGAACGCAGATGGACGTACTCATTAAATGATGATGTGTTTAGTGACGAGAAAGAACCTGTCGCACAGTCAGCAACAAAAGATTACCTTTTTGAAAAAGATAGCTCCTACAGCACTAAGGACAGCAAAACTCCATATACTGCACAAAGTGGCAAAGAAAACTTGCAGAAGCCACCCAGCGTTGCAACAATTGACACTCAAATTCCAGCAAAGAGCCTGTCAGAAGAGCAGAGCTCAGCTCTTTTGTCTGCTCGCCACTCCGTGAACACTCAAACTGGGTCAGCTCGGGTTTCAGCTTCTCTCCCTAGAAGTTACCAGAAAACTGATACCTCTAGGTTAACATCCGTGGTTACACCAAGACCTTTTGGTGTCCACTCAAGAGGAATCTCATCGCTTCCACGGTCTTTCACGGTAAAATTCTGTTTCGTTCCTGAAGTTTGTAAATGTTATTGTCTTCGTTAACTGGCCAAGCAGTAGACTTTCAACATTCGTTACTTTTTAAAGACTCACCTGCTATTTAATGAAGGCTGTGTTAACAGAGCAGACAATTCTGTCACTGCTTTAGACGTTTACTTGTGTTTCTGTGCTTAAAAGGTAGTCTTTGGAGTAAATCTGATAAATGTGTTTGGTAGGATAATCTTTTCATCATTTTCAGTAAGTGTCCTTGATGAAGTCAGGTTTACTGATAAGCAAAACCAAATGTAATTGTCTTAAGCTAAGTTTATGTAATTAAACATTGAAGACAAATTTTCAGGTGATATAAATTTCCTCTGCTCCACTGACTTTACTCCAGGCTGGAATCTGCCTGTTCAATAGAGTATTGAAACACAAACTGATTTTTTCCCTTGTTATGTAGATCTTCATAGCTTTTTAATAAATCCCTCGTTGGCTCAGTTGTAGAAATGGTAAGAAGGCAAGTCTTTCTAAGCATGTGATTTTTAACAGGTTTATTTTAATAAGTTTGTATTTTATATTCTGCAAGCATTTCAAGGTCTTGCTCTTCTTTAAAGTGCATAGTTAATAATGGGTGCAGTAACCAGAAGTTGCCTGAAAGAGAGCTTTTTAAAATATATATATATTTTTTTTTTTTTAATTTGCTAAAAGATTAAGGATTTTGTAGAGCACATATTTACCAAACTGTCATTTTTCTCCTAGATGGATGATGCCCAGAAATATAACGGAGAAGTAGAAAAAACTAAAAGAACTCAAACTTTGTTCACTAGCAGTTCATTTTCACAACCAGACTCAGCGCACCCTGTTTCTGCTACTGCACTCGGAAGCAGAGGTGAGGAGGAGGAGGAGAAAGAAGGTGTTAAGACGGCACCTACTCCTAGTTTGACAGTATCTGTTAAATCCCAAGACCAAGATGCTGGAGGCTGTATTCTTAAATCAGAGTATTGTTCTCCTCCTGATTCTGTTTCACTTGCATCTTCCGCAGAAAATGCGAGTCTGCCAGAGCCCGATGATTCAAAATCCCAGGTAAGTTTGAAAATCATGTCATTATTTCATGTAACTGAATGCAACAGCAGGGTTTTTTTTTTTTTTTTAAAAAAAAAAATTGCATCTCACACTAGTGTTCTTTGGTAGTAAGAACTACTCAGAACTGTTACCTCGTGATCTATTTTAGGGGAAACAGGATACTTAGAAAATTTTTGCTCCTTTTGA